GCCTGCATTTCGTCCAGGTTTGTATCCGCATCTTGCAATGACTTTATATCCGCGGCAAATTTGACACTTGTAGTTTCGAATTCAGCTTTTTTGTTGATTCGGGTCTTTTGCCAGTCGCAAAAACGAGTGATAGCCCAATTCGTCGCATACTGTGTATTTTTTGGAACGCTCGAGCTTACACAAGCGTGTTCTTCTTCTTTAGATTTTGGATTTGTAAACAGACTCATGTTTCGCCAAACTGAATTAAATTTTTGGTACCTTGAATAGTTAATAAGATGAAATTCCCTTGATAGTTTATTATAATACTATAGCTTGTACAAAACAATGACAAATAGACAATCAATGCATTGCACACTAAGTACCCTAGCTGATAATATACTTTGATGTCATTCATTAAGCTTTTGTTCAATGTAGGGTGAATAGTTTGAATGGTATAACTATTCTTTAACTGATCAAAACAAAGTATTGTCAATCAGGAACCGAGTTTTAGAATGAATGTGGAATAAAGCTACGGAAAAAAGATAAACAACAAGCCCAAAAAAATAGACAGCAATAACTTTAATATTTACAATTATTAGAATTATGAATTATTAATGAGTTTGATAAGTAGTATAAAGAACTCAAGAGTGTGTTTTATCGGGACTAAAGATCCTCGCCTTCGGCTCGGATCTTTATCACCCGATAAAACACACTCTTTCGTTCTTTATACACTACATGGAAAACAGTCAACAATTCAGTTACCGTCTAGATTGTCAAATTAGACATTTCTGCAAATGACTTTGTTGTTGCTTTTATGTCTTTACTAGTGAACAACGTTAATGGGGTTGACTGTATATTGTCCATATGACGCCATGTCTGCTTTGGCGAAGTGCGTCAAGGTATTATCAAGATGGCGGACGTCTTTTAATATCAAATTCAAAAATTTATACATAATTAATGAGCTCGTGGGCCAATTGAATTGGCCTATTTGTTCACATGCATTAACCTATATCTGATAAAACATCCTATTAAAAAAACTGCCATTCAAAGACTCAGAGTGCGCAGTCACTCAGGATCTGATGCCCCAGAATTACTAGATGATCCAGTGTGAATGATAGCTGTAATAACGCCAAATTCACTTCAAACAACTAGTCTATATAAGATTTCACCTAGGCACATCCTGGTCTTGGCCCAGTTAGGTCAACTATGGCTTTTTTCGTTAAGTGCACTRTTTTGAACCTACCTGCCTTGCATCGTTGTTGTACAGTAAAGCCTGCTGAAATCTACCGGCAAATAATTTTATTGCAATTTTTCTGTGTTTTTTTTATTTACATTGTATAAACATAGATATTATAATACAGCAGATGCTCAGCATCAAAAGAAAATAAAGGGCAAAATAAATAAGTTAAGCCATGGATGTATCATAAGCCATCGATATTAAAWAACAGCATATGGCCAAGCTGAGGAAAAAATAGAGGATATCACACGGGCGCGCGAGGATACGGATTTTATCTTCGAGAGTTGAAAAGATCTCTCACGARTGTGTAGCGAACGAATGAGAGATTTTCAACGAGGATGAAATTCGTATCTCCAAGCAACCATGCAATATTCTGCTTATCATATAATTACATATGAAAGTAAATTATGTAGTAAAATACCTTTTTTCTTACTTCAACTATTTAGATTAACCTCGAATGTGTTTTTACTAGTGAAAATAACMACTTTATGTGATGGAGAACTATTAAGTATTTTATAGATAATTATATGATAAAAAGCATCACATTTTTTCGCGTTTTTTTTAAATTAGTGGAAATCAGGATTATTCTTCAAAGATATGGTCAAGTGATAAGCGTAGTAAGTGTTCAATTTCTAAAAGATTCTGTTTAAATTGAACGTAAATTCTCTGAGTGCTTACATTTCCACGATTGCCGGTGTCGCCTTTTTCTTTGAGATAATAAATAAGTTATTTTTATAATCGGCAATCCTCTTTCCATCCGCACCCGACATCTCGTAAATATCAAAGATGAGAATTTTGAACGTTGTCGTGCCCGGCCTCTACTTTTACGTCAGGGTTATCGTTTTGTTGGGTTTCCTCTGTCACACAGCATGCGTCTCTTTTTTGTAACGAAATTTCTTCTTCTCCTGGTTTAACTTTACAAAACCCACACTTACGACAAAGTCTACAATAAAAGAAAAATGCATTTGATTTAGTAGAATACCAAGAACTGACATTCAGATAACGCTTCTAACATGCTAAAAACATGATCAAAATGTTGAATGGCTTTCTTGACTCAAATTCGGAATTTAAAAAGATACTCTAAGCGAACTTGCCTCGTGATGCTTAGCTGTCCAAAGTTTCCAACTGGACCGATAAAAGCGCTCAAGGAAAGGAACGCAAAGGTGGCAAACAACCAGCTGAACACCATGACTAAAATCAGAAACTGACCGAGCTGAATGTACACAAGAACGATTGCAGGAAGCATCAGTAGTCCTACGGAACAAGAGCAAAACATGTCAATGCAAAAGACAAGCCACAATTTTGCCGGGTTTTTTTTGGTTTTTAACGCGGACAAGCGGCCAAAGCAGTGGRATCTTTCAAACGTTTAAATCTCATAGCTTGCATAATGCTGTAGGTATTACCAATTTCTACARACCGCCACAATTATTCATATTAAAGACTATCAATTCATTTAATTGACGATTTACCTGTTACAAAAGTGGTAAATGCCGCCATCAAAATAGCAGATCCAATATGGATGAATGAATAGCGAACTCTCTCGTGTCTGTTATCTTTGTGTGGTGATAATCGATATGCTACTCCATAGTGCATAGTGAAATCAATGGAAAGACCAACTGACACAGAGAACACAATGGACTCTAACACACTCA